TCGCTCTGCGACGGATCGACCGACGTAACGCCGAGGCAGTAGCAGACGGCCGAGTTGGCGGCCGAGCCGCGCCCTTGGCAGAGGATGCCGCGCGAGCGGGCGAATCGCACCAGGTCCCACACCGTCAGGAAGTAGGCTTCGTAACGCAGCTTGGCGATCAGCCGCAGCTCGTGGTCGATTTGCTGGCGAACCTTCTCGGGGACGCCCTCGGGATAACGGCCCTCGGCGCCCTGTTGCGTCAGCTCGGTAAGCCACGCCAGCTCGGTCTTGCCGACGGGCGCGAGTTCTTCGGGATACTCGAAACGCAGCTCGTCGAGCGAGAAGCGGCAACGCTCGGCAATCTCCGCCGTGCGGGCCAACGCGTCGGGCCAATCGCGAAACAGCCGGGCGAGGTCCTCACGCGATCGCAGGCAGCGCTCGCCGTTGGGCAATAGCTCGGCGCCGTCGGCTGCTTCGATGGTTTCGCCGAGCCGGATCGCGGTGAGCACGTCGTGCAAGAGACGCCGCTCGGGGGCGTGATAGTGAACGTCTCCCGAGGCGACCATCGGCAGGCCGCTACGCTGCGACAGTGCGGCGAACGCCGCCAGTCGCGACCGGTCGTCGCCCCCGCGGTGAGCGTCCGCCAATAGGAAGCCACGGTCGCCGAATAGGTCGCGGAACGCTCCTAAGGTTTCGAGGTTGGCGGCCGGCTCCTCCAAGGTGACGCCTACCATCAGCCCCGCGGAATTCTCCGCCAAGTCGTCGAGCCGCAACTCGCACGACCCTTTCTCGGCGCGGCGGAGCCCCGTTGTCAGCAGTCGGCAGAGCCGACCATACGAGGCCCGGTCGGTCGCCCAAACGACGACCGTCGGCGCCTCGGCTAGCGTCAGCTCGGCGCCGACGACTAGCGGCAAGCCGGCTTCCTTCGCCGCGACGTACGCCCGCACGACGCCGGCGAGGCTATTGCGATCGGTGACGGCGAGGGCGGCGTAACCGAGTTCGGCCGCTCGTCCGACCAGCTCGTCGGCGTGCGACGCCCCGCGGAGGAACGAGAAGTTCGTG